GTAAAGAACCCTCCTCTAAATGCAGGAGACTTAAGAGACTCGGGTTTGATTCCTAGGTCAAGAAGATCCTGGAGGAGGGCATGGCAACCCACTCCAGTATTCTTGCTGGAGATCCCATGGACAGAGAAGCCTGGAAGGCCCCATCCATGGGATTGCAAAGAGTCAGGCATGACTGAAACATTTTAGCTAGCTAGCTAGCCATGGCGGAGAAGGCAATGGCACCCCACCCCAGTACTCTTGTCTGGAAAATCCCATGGACGGAGGAGCCTGGTGGGCTGCAGTCCATGGGGTCCCGAAGAGTCGGACACGACTGAGCAACTTCACTTTCACTTTTCACTTTCATGCATTGGAGAAGGAAATGGCAGCCCACTCCAGTGTTCTTGCCTGGAGAATCCCAGGGACGGTGGAGCCTGGTGGGCTGCCGTCTATGGGGTCGCACAGAGTCGGACACGACTGAAGCGACTTAGCAGCAGCAGCAGCAGCTAGCCGTGGTGTCTTCCAAAGAAAAACAATTTCATACTTACAGTTTTATATAAGTAAATAGTTTTTATTCGGTTGTTTTATAAGAAAAAAAGCCAAAAATTTTCAAAAATGATTGTTTAATATTTCAGATAACCTTTTCTTTGAGATATTCTAAGCATTTAATTTACAAATCTAAATTTCCAGGAACTCATACTGAGAAAATTCATTCATTCACTGAAGAGATGTTTATGACACATTCCTGGGTACCAAGCTGTTTTCTAGGCTTTCAGTACACAGTGGGAACATGTCTAGTGGAGCTGAGAATAAAAGGGGGCACAGGGGAAGAATCATAATGTAACAATTTTTTTAGGAAACAAAATAAATTAATCTCTGTGCTTCTGAGTTTATACAGCACACGGACTCATTGTTCTCATTACATTTAAACATAACACACTCTAAATCTTCACTTAAATGTCTTTCCACTTCACTAAAATATAAACAACTTAAGGGCAAGGAATGTCCTTCATCTTTGAATCTTTGGCTTCTAGCTAGTATCTGATCATTATAATGGCTCAAGAACTACATTATGAAATAAATGGATTTCTCTATTTCACAAATTGCCTCTTTCCTTCTCAATTGAATATTCATAATCCTGCCTTCCTTCCCCTTCTTCCTCACCCACCACCCCAAAATAAAAGCCGACACTGGGCTCCCGGGGCAGTTCAGTGATGAAGAGTCCACCGGCCAGTGCAGGGTACACGTGTCTCGGAGCAACTAAGCACCACAACTATTTGAGCCTCTGTGGCTAGAGCCTGTGCTCCGCCAACAAGAGAAGCTGTCTCAATGAGAAGCTCGTGTACCACACCGAGAGCATAGTCCCGGCTCTCCGCAACTAGAGAAAAAGCCCACGCAGCAATGAAGACCCAACACAGCCAAAAATAAATAAATTAAATTATACATTAAAAAAAGCAACACTAGTTTTATGTTAGAAACAGGTCAAATCCCTGGGACTCAAGTTAGCGTTTTTGTTGGTTTTGTTCAGTCGCTAAGCTGTGGTCGCCTCTCTGTGAACCCCATGGACTGCAGCACGCCAGGCATAAAAGATACTTAATCAAATGTGCTTAGTTCATAAGAGAGACTCAATAAAACAAATCGGATAAATGAATACCTACAGAGTTTTAAAAAATGGCCTTCAGAAAAGTAATAGGGAAGTGCCACACCCCTATGAACATAAGTTCACAGCAAGTATTTTTAGAGAACTTAAATGTTGTTTGATTTTGTAATGGGAATCTCAGTGAAAATAAATAAAAGCCAGAGTTTTTAATTAACGCTGGTGAAACCAGCTTACAAGTGTGGGCAGGAGCAAAGTTGCAAAGCTAAGGAATAATGACTCTAGCCAGGAGCTGCCTGGGAACAAGGTTTTCTTCTTCTGTCACATAACTGAGTTCAGGAAAGCTCTTTTCCAGAGTTTCTAACTTCAGGGTTTAACTAGGAGGCTGGGATACATTTCAATCTTTTCAAATAGAGACCTGATCTTGCCTCTCTGGTAACGAATGAACAATTACAGCACTTTTGGTTACAGTTAGTTTTCACTTTTGGAGCATTTCCCAGGGGTGATATGGGAACCGCTTCCAGGAGGAGGCTGTGAGGCAGAGCTGGAAGCGAGGGCTCTCCTGAGGCAAACGTGCTCTTGGTGGGATGTGACTGTGAACACAGTGTGTGCTAAAACATAAACAACACAGCCAAAGCACCAAATGCCACAAATAACAAAAAAATTGTAATAAAGGACTCCTCTGAGCAGTTATAGACATACACACATATAGATGCACCTAAATTTCTTTTACCCCCCAAACCTGAAATCATGTGAACAATGAGTTGGGCTTTATTAATATCTGGAAAGACCATTAGTTCCATGTTTTCCCTAGGTGAGTGACCAGCAGCAAGCCCTCCATTTGAAGCTGGAAACACTGAAATTCACACGGCCAATTATGCAATACTAGACCACTGGGAAGCATTTCTGGCTGGCTCAGCTGGTGATCTGATTTTACCCTGCAGCAGCAAGATTGATAGACCTTATAATTTTATTCTGGTTAGTGTAGATGCTGTTCTTACATAAGTTTTTTTTTTTTTTTAACTCCTCTTTTTCTCAAAAGAAAAAACCTGAGTCCTTCTCAAGTGGTTTGCCTCAATGACATTTCATGGTGATAAGATCAGTACCCCAATCACCAGCTAGAGTGATCCTTTCACATGTATTTGATGTAGTTTAATTTCATTGAATGCCATGTGAGCTTGTTTATGAGAGAGAATGAAAAGGAACAGTAACTCGCCCCCTTCTAAATCATTTCTTTTATGAGGCTTCTTTGGGCATGAGGGAAAGAGACTCATTCTTCGAAGGTACAGAATATCAATTGGGGAGCTGTTTCTCTCATGCTAATGACAAGGAATAACTTAAAAACATTACATTCATATGTATATATGGTGCATATATACATAATTAGTATATTTACAAAGTACCTAGCAGAACCTCAGAACTTTTAGTTCCATTAACCCTTAAAAGGAAAACTAGAATTCAGATCAGTCAAAGCGCAGAGGAATGTGCTCCCTTTCAATTATATTCACCTATCATCCTTGTCTAGGAAAGACACCTCCAAAAAATATGAAATGAACTTTTTTTTTCTGAAGCACTGCTACAGTCTGTTATGTATTAATCAGATTCTGCAGTTCTAATTACAAAATAAGCACTAACTACTACATAGAATAAATATACTAGCCAAAAACATTTTTATAATCTGAAAGAAATGCTCCCATATTGATACTGCTAAGAGAAACAAACTCCCCTCTCCTAGATTATAAAGAAGCAAGACAGATGGCTTCTTGTTTAAGACTGTAATTTTACTTTCAGCCTCCTCCCTCAGTTAAAAAAACAAGATGTACTTTGACGCTTTGAGGGAAAATCTCAAGGGAAGGTTTTTTTAAATTCCTGGTTGCATTGAATAATTAACAAACAATTGAGAACTGAGAAAGATACAAAGGGGAAAATGCTATAGCTTGTTTTCAGGGAGTTTACAATCTAATTGTGGAGTTCACAATCAGAATTGGGACCAGAGCCATTGAAGTATTTTTTTTTTCACTTCTATTTAATGGCCTAATGGTAACACCCTTAGGATTCACAGCCCAGAGGTATGGTTGACCCTCTGATCAAACTGGAAGGGAACATAGGGAGAATGCAGAGGAAGAATTAATAATCTCAAGCAGTACTTACTGAGTCCTTACTGTCCTACTGAAAATGATATAATCGCTCAGTCATGTCCGACTCTTTCCAACCCCATGGACTGTAGCTCACCAGCTTCCTCTGTTCATGGGATTCTCCAGGGAAGAATACTGGAGTGGGTTGCCATTCCCTTCCCCAGGGGATCTTCCTGACCCAGGGATGGAACCCAGGTCTACTACATTGGCAGGTGGGTTTTTTACCACTAGCCCCACCCGGAAACCCCTATTGTCCTACTAGCTGCTTGCATATAGTGTTTAGTCTTGACAACAGCTCTTCCTGGTCATCCTTATCACCTGTTTTTCACAGAGCAGGAGAAACGGGCTTAGGGAAATGATTCATCCCTGGTAACAGACCTAACGACTTGAAACACACCACCTGGGAATTCCTCTTTGGCCTTTCCTTTGGGGGTCCCACGGTTCCCACCTTGATTTTCCTTTGCTTCCATTCCCTTTCAATGCACCTGAAGTCAGCTTACTTCTGTACTATTTCCGCCCCCCTTAGCTTTTCAGTAATCTTTAAAACTTGCAGTCTTTCATTTGGCAGTCAGGCTTTCTAGTCTCCTTTGCACCTTTGCAAATAAGTTTTTTCCCCCCGATTCTGTCTTTAAGACATTCTTTTGACAGGATGAAGGGAAACATGAAAAAGCTTAAAACAGTGCCTCGTAAGTGGTTCTCTTAATACAAAGCATGATCTATAGTTTTATTCCTGCCACATTTTAACTGTTCTCATATCACACTTTCTCAACCTCTTGGGGTTGTAGTTCTTGAAGATGGTGACAGCACTTACTCTTAATTGCTGATACTGCCTAGCGTATTCGCGGAACAACAAGGACTTTTAAAAGATAGCAGGAACTTTGGTCGTTTGGTTCATCTCTTTATTCCCAGTGCTTGTAAATTACTGGAATTTAGTATGCTTGCGGTATACGTATGTTTTAATATGATGAATTAATACTCATTTGTGTGTGTGTGTGTGTGTGTGTGTGTGTGTGTGTGTATGGGTGGACTATTCTGTGTAAAGTTTCGTTCAGATCCAGTATGTCTCTGAATTAAGAGACCTGGAGAATTTTTTGCCTTTTCCTTATTTTCGCCCCTCTATAACAATTTCGACCTTGGGTGCATTCCATCAAACTCTCGGTGCCTTCAAAGCATAGTTTCCACATCAGCAAAATGGGGCGAGTAGCAACAGACGCTTGTTTCTCCTAGGGCGCCCGCCGGCTCGCATGCCGAGAGGCTCTGGGGCGTAGCTGCGCGCCCGGCGCCGCCTCCGGGCTCCTCCGGCCCCGCCATGGGCTGCTGCAGCTCCGCCTCCTCAGCCGCGCAGGTGAGGGGCTCCCGCCTCCCGGCCGCCCGCCCGGATGCCTCCCTCGCGCCGCGCGGCGGGCGCCCGCCGCCTTCCACGACCCGCGAGCTTCCCTTCAGCCCACCGTGCACTCCAGAGACGCTCCCCACCCGCACCTCCCCCTGTCCCGCCGTTGCCCCCGCGCTGGCTCCCAGGGCAGCCGACTGGCAGGCGCCTCAGCGCGGCCCCCGGGGCGCCCCTTGCAGACTTGGCCGCCGCCTCCTAGTCACACCTGAGCGGCGCATCCCGCCAGCCCGCAGGTAGAGGCAACAAGGACGCCTGCTCTCTGCCCCAGGTGGCACCCCCCTTCCTTCGTCTTCCGGGCCTGCCTCCTCGCTTCCCACCTCCTTGGAGTCCGCCCGCTCCACATCTACAGACTATCCTCTATGCTCCCTGGAGGAGTAGCTCCAGCTTGGGCTGTTCGCCCCATCTCCCACCTTATTACAGTTTCTGCTGTATTGGAGATTCTGTCCCTTTTCTCCTGCCGGCTGCCCCCGGCCCGGGTTCAAGCGTTTAAGCGGATCGCGGAGCCCTCCTACGACCCGGTTTCCCAGATTCCAGCAGCTCGCCTCCCACCCCATCCCCCCTTTGTGCCTTGACCTCAGACACCCAGGCCTCTTCGCACACCGAGGCCCCTGCGGGAGCGCGGGGACTGCGCTGGGAAGGAGATTGGGCACCTGGAGGGTGACGGGAGCGTTACGGAAACTCCCTCTTTGTTGCCAGTGTAACAGGAGGAAGAGGTGCCCAATTTAGTTTTTCTGTGGGCACACTGGCTGAGTGTTGTCGCTGAGGGCTGAGATGCAGAGATTTCTCCCAGTGTCTACCCTGCCCCCATCCAAATTTCGCTAACCTGCCTCTCTCTCTTGCCGATCGGAGCCCTTAACCTGGATAGAAATGTTTTAGACAACTGTATAAGGATCAGATGTAATAGGACTTGACTGCTGTCCGCTAATAACTGAGAGGACCTGTTTGTAAATTACCTAATTTAGTGGATTAGTGAGTGTATTTACAAATACGATAAAAAGCAATCAGGAATACTGCATCAAACTGTCTGGTGGTGGTGTATGAAAAATAGGCTCTGACAATGCCTGGGATGTAATCTCACAGTTTCATTAGCTTAGAATTTAACTATGGTCTTTGATTTGTTTGTTTTGAGGGGGAGACAAGGACTCTTGTTTTTAGAAATAAAGGGTCGTCCGTTCTTGGTGAAGAAAAACGCTAGTTTGGGGGAAAAAAATTCCTTCAGAGATCTAGCATCTGTGATAATGCCAGAAGTATTTTGCTACTGCTAAATGACTATATATAACTCAGTTTTAAATAACCTGCATACTTGTTCTGAAAATCTGAGATCTGTCAGCAAATGACTGGAATTGCAGATGAATTGAGGACATCTATGTTTTATTAAGTATCCATCCTATTTGTCCATTTCTTTTTTGGATGTTTGCTTACTCGTGGTTTTTTTTTTTTTTTTTCCTTTTCCTATTAGGATCATAGTCAGGCTGATTGGTTTTAGTTAGTTAAACCTTACTGTTCAGTTAGAATAACAAAGAAAAACTATAAATAGTGGTGTTAGGAGGGAGAGGTCTATACTTCTCATATTAACAGATGAAGGTGTGGAATCACACAATTCCTTTCAACTGGTTAGAGGTTTTTGGGGAGAGAGAGGAATCTAGTTGGGTGCTATTGGTCTAATATTTACTTAAATATTATTTTGACAAAAATGGTATCTTTGCTGTTGCCATTCTCTGAAGAATTGGTTTACTATGTATCCTCTTTTGGACATGAAATGCCTTAGAGACAGGAAAGTATTGGATAGTTTATGGATGGCTTGTTCCATATTTATAATCAATTAAATTTGGGAGGGATGGATGCTGGACCCGAACTCTACTTAACAGATCTTGCATTTGACTAGCTCCACATCTTACTTTTCGGAATGCTGTCCCACGTATTTTCCTTGTTTTTTCCTCTTCTTGCAGCCACTGCTTGCTTCATGCTGTGTTCTACAGACAAGAGGCACGTCATGCACCCTGAGGAGTGCGTTGTTTTTTTGTTTTTGCCCCTGTGGTTTCCTGTAGCCAATCAACAGCTGTCACATGCCCTTAAGTTCAGCTTTAGGGACTTGTAGTGTTCAGTGGAGCATTGAGGAGCAGGTTTTGTGCCAAAGAGCAGGTCATCATGGTTTTTTTTTCTCCCTTATTTGAGGTTTTGCATCATTCTTTTATTTGTGAAATGTTATCAATCTGCTGCATTTTAATGCTCCTTTCAGGAACATCATCAATTGGATAATATAGTATCTATATGTGTTGTGTTGAAACCAAATAGGGATGGCAGCTGCACATCTTCTCTGAATGTGAGCCTGCACAGCACTATGAACTTCTCTAAGAGGCCCGGATTGTATTCTCAGGCACAATGTTTCTTTCATCCCTTCTACTGGATTGTAAACTTCCTGAATGTGGGAACTCTTTTTGTTTTCCACATGTTTGTATTCATTGCAGTGCCTTACTATACCTTGTACATGATAGTGGCTCAGCAATAGTCAATGAGCAGAATATAGATACACAGATTGGAACATTTGGCTGGCAAGTAACATTTAATATGAATCCAGCCCTGAACCATGTTCTGTTTCACTTCCATGAGCTGGTTGACTAATGTCTCCAAGCCATTCTCTTCTACGTTCAAATTTGAATGTTTAAGTTAAAATTCACTTGCCTTTCCCACATTCCATCCTATTCTTTCAATGGGACTGTCAGTTTGCAAAATTGAGCAGGTTTTTTCTTTGCTACTGGTGCTCAGTGCTTATGTTTTAGTTGGAGCAGTGGCTAAAACGTCTTAAAGGAGCTTGTCTGCAAACTCTAAAGATAACCTGCACAGCACATCAAAACAAACATGCTTTGGGGTAATCTGCAGTTCAGCTTAGCTTTTCTCAGTGGTATCGTCAGCAACTTTAAAGCCCTGGCGTTTTATCATTGTAAATATAGTGTGTTTCCTCTTTGTAGTAGGGATTCACTTTTGAAATATATATAGTTTATTTTCCCTCATAGTCTCTTGCCTATATTGTAGACTCTCATAAAAGAGTTATTGTCTTCCAAACTGTTTCATCTCTTGTAGTCTATTCAGGTATTATTTTCATTTTCTTGGCAGTGTCTGAATATCATAATTTGTCTTCAAAATAATTATCCTGTTTTTGGATTTAGCTAAAGTGTCACATTCTATACCTACTTGCATTTCATTGTTTAAGGAGGAAATTATTGGCAAAATTATTTTACTGTATCAGATATGTGTATCTAAGAACCTTAAGAACTCTTAGAAAAAATGTTTATAGAACTGTTAATTATGTTTTGTTTTCTTATTAGTGACCACTGCAGGTTACTTGCTAATACTAGTAGTTGCTCAAGACAAGTCAGTACATGATAGCCTTTGCCTAAAAATCTCTTTGAAGGGAACATAAAAGTGAGATAGTCTTGAGTTTCTTTTTACAGCACTAATCCTCCCTAAGACTCTTAAAATTTATTCCCAACTCTCCATAATTCGTTTGTTCTGTTATAACCTGACATAATTTCTATTCTTGTAATGTTAAACTTCAAAGTTCACTTGTAAATCTTCAGATTTATGAAATGTTCTTTCCCATTGACAAACCAGTTTGAATGAAGGAGGCTTTTGAAAGATTACTTAGCGAATTGTCAAAAGTCTTTGTCGTTAATGGCTAGATCATTATTTCTCACAGTAGTGCTTTGGAAGTCAGGAGATTTTGCAAGTGCTCTGAAGTTCTGTGTCCTTTGGTTCTAACCTTAGAAATTGTGAGAGGGATGGAGGATAATCTTTCTTGTTGTACAAACTGCCCCTTCTATCTGTCTGTTGGAGAGGTGGTTCTTGTCTCTGGTCTTGTCCCATGTCGTCAAATTGAGAGCTCCATATTTAACTGTGTTTTTCTAGCTCTCGTATCTTGTCTTGGGATGAAATGAAAAATGAGAAACAATCAAGTGGTTCACAAACACTGGTTAACTTTTAAGAATGTTAACTGTTCTTTAAAAGAATTTTAATAGTAACTGTAGTCTCCTGCTTTGTGGAATTTGAAGTCAGAGGTTAAAAATGAAAATTGAAGAGTAGTGGGAATTACTAACAGAGACTAAGTTATTCTATTAAAATGTGTCCAACAGAATATACCTGTTCTAACTGAAACAAAAAAAACCACAGCATGAAGACTGTTTTTGTCTTCTGAATTCTGTGCTGTTAGCATGTGCTGTGCCTAGTTGCTCAGTCGTGTCGGACTCTGCGACCCTGTGGGCTGTAGCCCACCAGACTCCTCTTGTCCATGGCATTCTCCAGGCAAGAATACTGGAGTGGGTTGCCATGCCCTCCTCCAGGGGATCTTCCCAACCCAGGGGTCAAACCCAGGTCTCCCACATTGCAGGTGGATTCTTTACCATCTGAGCCACCAGGGAAGCCCAAGCATAGAAGATCCATTCCTTAAAATACATAAATCAATGTTAATATTAAAATTGGCTGGAAAGTAATGTAAAAATGATGAGACTTTTTGCATGGCTATTTTTCACAGCCCTTTTCACATTTCAGCTTCTCCAGTAATTCTGAAGTCGACTTTACTTCCATTTACAGCTGAGGAAGTTGAGAGTTGGATGTTAGTTGAGACTTGGCTGCAGTCTCTGAGCTACTAAGGGATCAGTCCAAACTTTACCCTTGTCTTGAATCTGAGTCCTGTGCTTCTGTTTCTGTGTTCACATATATGTTTCCCATATCTTAAATTGTAGTTCATTTTATCTTTAGAAAAGGTCCACTCAATAACATTTTGAAATAAGGAATGTGCAAGTTCAAGTCATGCCATTTTGAACTTGCTGGAGTTACTAGATAGGAAACAATATGATATAATAAGCAACACTAGTCCAGTTAGAAAGTTCCCAGTCTTAACAAATACTATCAAATACCATTTGATGTGTTAATCCTATCATTTAGAAATGTTATTGGCT